TCCCACTGCAGCACTCCTTGCTGGTCACTTAATAGCTCCTAGATCGATTGCATAAGTGTTTGCACAGCCCTACATGTGCAAACCTGCACTGTGGAAAATATTCGATCCACACATCTCTTTATGTGCACTTTTTTCCTCTTACATCCGAGCCACTGAGGACTCATGCAGGGAAGAAAGTTTTCCTAATTAATTGATGTAGTTATTCTGATTGTTTCTTGTTGTTTATTTTCTCTACTAATTCTTCTTCCCTATTCTATTATTTACTCTTTTCATCATGTTTATTAGTAACTAATAAACCAAAGCTAAGTCAGCATCAGTTTTATTTACCATTATTATTTCCAGTAAATATGTATCAAAATTTGATGCAGCTTTGCACCTACATCTAGTGTAGTCAGTTACCATATGAAACAAGACCCAGAGCATTGCTGCATTGATTTCCTGAGGAAAATCAAAGTGCCAGACCCATTCTCTTTGCTCTGTCGGAGGTGCCACTGAGGCTGACGGAAGGCAGGAACCATGCAAGGGCCCTGCTCGAGTCATCTACTAGGACTTTAATACTGCATAAAAAAATCCTTGAGTTTTATACAGGCAGAACTCCAGAGAAGCATTTGTGGATTTCCGTAAATTTTTTTCTTCCTTAATTGAGTAGCAGAAGGAGTCAATTAATCAAAATCTGTGGAAACAATGGCTCAGGGTACTCCTCTCTCCTCTTCTGTGATTTGAGCTTTGATGACTTTAATTGGGGAGTTGATTGGGTTGGGGTTTGTGTTGTGCCTGCGCACTTTGTAATGACTAATGTACTGATTATTCTTACCTAGAGATGTCTTTGAATCAAAATCCTGAGAAATTGTTATGGTCTCCACAAACTCTCAGGAGATAAAGCTCTAAATAGAAATGTAGCTTTCATAAATGGATCTTATTTCGTGAAGGAATCAGACTTTGACAGAGTTAGCACTTGGTTAGACTGTGCGCTTCAATCCTGGTTTCTTATTGCATTGATTTTACTATCAAAATCTACTTAAATTTAAGGTAGTATTAGTCACACCCTCGCTTGCTGGCACCCCCAATGCACTAGAAGGCCAATTCCATTTTTGTAATAACAAATGCTTAAGGGGTGCTGGGCAACTGGTGCTACTCTGTGTGACCCTTACCCATGGTACCTGCTGAGATCGAAGGCATTTGCTTGAAGCTGAGACAACCTCTTTATTAAGACTATGCCATTGTCCACATGAACGTGAAAAGCAGGAAAAGCTGCAAGGATGCAGCACAGGCCAAGATAAGCATCCCGTGTTGACACAAAGCCTTAGCCGGGTAACAGGATGAAATGACATTTCCTACAGCGCGCAGAGCCAAGATCATCGATACCCATTTACATTGGCATTGCCTTCATCTCTGACAAAGATTTTCCCTCAGAGGATTCACAGGGGTGGACTGGGGCTTCCAGAGGCTGGATGATGACATCCTTATCCCAAGGCAATTGTCCTCTGGAACCGGGAAGCCGGACCCAGCACTCAATACTCAGTTTTGTCCACAGAAGATGGCTTCAGGTGTAAAGTTTCCAGTTTGCTTTACCAATAAATTCACCATGAATGTGGGGAAACTCTTTGAAGGTTATGTTATCGGGGATGCGATTTACCTCAGTTGGGCTTTGCCCTTTTCTCTACACATTCTTCAGTGTGCAAAAATATCTTTCACTTCAGAATTCATAGGGGTTGAATTTAGTGGAATCATTGGCAGAGAGAAAACACGAAAAAAGCCCGCATTGAAAGAACACACATTTTAATTACAATTGAGAATGTCTGGACAGCTAAGCAACAAATATTAGGGCACAACACAGCTTCATATAGATGGCATGGATAACAGCCCAGTGAATATACATCATGGGTCTTAACAGGAGCAAACAACCAGGCACATACCCAGGGTCTCCAAACCTCAACAGAATATTGCAAATCATACCTCAAAGCTGTACAACAGCTATTCATCATCCTTTGTTGCACACACATTGCAGCCAGCCCCTGCTAACCGCAGGCGTGCAGAGATGTGTGTGAACAGGACAAGGGTTGCTGTTATCAGGTAATTCTGCCGGCCCCGAGGTGGCAGGGATCGGGGCTGGGAAAAGTAGAAAAAAAGGCAGTCTTTGGTTCGTCTGCTTGCTCGCTTTTCGTTGTGCATATTTTCCACCCTGCTGCTATTTGGCAGTACATTATTTCATTCCTATATTTGTTTCCATGCGTTTTTCAAAGAAGAAAAAAATAAGGAACCTTCATTTATCTGTACATCTTGAAGGTCTCAAAAATTACTTTGAAGTTGGTCCTTCTTCTCTGCTTTTAGAAACAAAAGGTAAAACTGATGAAACAAAGTATGGCATGTCTTCTGAAATCAATGTTTTGGCTTGTTCTTATTACATTTGACTAAATCATTTTTCATCACGCTTTGAAAGACACTATTTTTTAAACAGCTAAGCAGGTCCTTACCAGGTTTCATGACCTGAGAGAAATATTTCCCTTGTCTCTCCAGGTCAGCCCTGAAGGAGCAGAGGAGTTCACTTGTCTGGGGGTCCAGGTTTGGGCACGCTGGTCTCTCAGCCCCAGTAGCTGAGAGGTGCCATGAGCAGCTGAGAGGCTGTTCATGTACAGCGCTGCAATCACCTCCGCTATGGCAGGGCACTAGACAGGGATGTTAACAGACTGTTGGGAAGGCGACAGATTCAGCAAAAAAACGGGATTTGTTGCATAAGAAGTCTTCTCAAAAGTGTAGTAAGTATAGTTAAAGAAGTTATAAAGACATTACTATAGCATGGAGAAAAGTGCACAATTTGTGAGTTCACACACATTTTCAGGGAAGAAGAAATACAAAGAAGTATTTGTACAAGAAATACATGTATAGGAGAAGGGCAGTCAGCCCTAGTTTATTCCTTAAAAGATACTTCAGTGAAACTCTTTACTAATATTAGCTGGGAGAGCTACCGGGTCTCATGGTTTATAACCTCTGTAAATGATAACGAGTGAAGAGATGCAAGGGAAGATGAAATAGACGGATGCCTGAGGTGGGCCGGGGTTTCTCCCGATCTCCATTTGGGCAGGAGACAGGTGAGGAACGGAAACAACTGTCCTGCTGTTTGTAACTGTCTCTTTTGTATAGGTTCATTTTCACCTTTACTTTTAAAGGTATTTGCCAAAGTGAAGACCTCTTTACGGCCCCTACAAAAGCATTGTGGTGGTAGAGCATCTCACCCAGAGCCGTGCTCACCCCTGAGGACAGTGCCCCGCTGCCCTCCAGTGGCAAACGCCTCCAGAACAGCTTCCCATTCTCCCATTGCTTTCAACCCCTTAAACTACGTTAGACCCAGATCCTTATGGAAATTATAAGGCTAATTTCCCATTAAAATTAGATGTTTAAATGCCCTTGGTGAGCTTACTTTTATTTGAAAATGCTGTAGAAGTTGCCCGGTCAGAGCTGCAGAGCACCACAACTTCATGCAGAACTTGCCCCTTAGCAGAAGGTGTCCTATAGAGAATCTGTCACATGTACAAATATATATACCTCTGTCTGTGTATGCACTCACCTATCCCATACCTTATGTATGCTTTTTCCTCAATATTCAGATGCTAGATTTCGCAATACAAAATACACACTGAAATTCACATGTAGTTAGAAAAAGCTGTTTCTAGGGAGGTGTAGTTTTGCCAGTGCAGCAAAACATCCCTCCGTGAAGAAAGATGAACACCCCACCTCCAGCATAAAACTATTTCACTACAGACAAAGGCTGCTTGTTTTCAATGAGTGAATTTTGATCGATTTCTTTAAGCAGATGTTCTGGGAAACAGTTTTGCTATTCCAAGTCCACAAAGGTCAACCCTACTGTCATCACTGCTGGTTCCTGCCACACCGGATTAGTCTGCTTGCTTAGCTTTGGACTGAAGTCTTACCGCTTCCTTTCTAATGGCACCTTCAATGTCCATGACAGGGCCTGCAATGTTTAATGTGGAAGCTGGTCAACCTTTGTCACCTATCACTACGGATTAGCTGTACAAATCTTCTGCCCCCCGCTAGCATTCACATCTACCACCATTACTTCTTAGATATGGTGTAAAATAGCCTAAGATGAGATCCAGCCTCACTAGGCAGGAGCTGGGTAGTGCAGTCGTCAGCCCTCTGCGTGTTCGCTGGGACTAACACCTTCTTTGGGATTTGTTTTATAAAAGGGACTGAAAAATGCTGAAAAAGTAAATCTTGATGCTTCTTCATATTGAAGATATTTGCATTCAGCCATGTTCCCCATATTTTTCTGTCCTTATATCAAGGTTCCAAATAGAGGTGCTTTGAAATGCCACTGATTAAGAGCTTCGTTTATAAAGAGATTAGATGCCTACAATTAGATAATGTGAATTGTGTCCTCACTTTCCATTAACACCCATCCTCCTGCTGCATGGGATTTCTTGGACAAGTAGCTTTATGGCTGAGCACACTGTTTGGCTGAGTCACCACACTGATACATTAGCTATTTCTACAGAACTCTACATTTCCTAGAGAGAATATTAGTGAAAGTCCAGCAGCAGCCAAAGAAATAATTTCATTATAAGAAGGATATGAAGTGCACCGATATGGCACACGCATATCAGACTTCTGTGCCTTCTACGTGACATCGTTCCAATTCGAATCTTTAAATCCAGAGCACCTAGATCTGGGTTAAATCGCAAGATATAACAAATTTGTTTGTCATTGTTTTGAGAATAAAATCTTAATGAGATTTCAGTTGGAGTTTTGGACTGTTTCTAAAATTTCCTTTTCATTTAAAAGTGAAAAATGTGTGTATAAAATAGCTTAATTGCTGTCAGGAAAGAAAAATGGTAAATACCATACTGCTTAGGCCCAGCTTAGAGTTACATGAATAGAAATATATCGATAAGGATCTACTGTAAATCCACTTAGTCACTTCAGGAAATGACACTGAATTCAAGTAATACACACACACAGAGCTAGGAGTTTAGATACTTGACATGACTGGTTTTGCTCAAGAAGGTACTGTGAAGGTAAGAACATGGATGTCCAGATAGATATCACACATCGTACTGTGCTAAGAAAATAAGAAAAGCTTTTGCAGAAAGAAAGAATGGATGATCTTTTTAAATCAGCTAAGAAAACTTAGCTTTGTTTTTTTCTCTCTCTAGCTGAGACCCATCTTCTCCCTGGCAGGACAGAGTGAGGCAGGGCTGGAGGTATCCTTTGGGGTGTCAGAGGCCACAGCGCTGCCGACAACACCACCTCATGCCAAGGAGAAGACTGTGCAGCTGGAGGGATCCTGCTGGATCCATGGCTTTGCTAGAGGTCAACCTTTTCCAGCTGTATGGGATGGCCTTTCTAGGTAGGATTCTTTTTTTCCATGCAAGTCACCTAATCTGAAAAGATACCATGAAAACAGTTAGCAAAGGATAATTTCCAGCATGACCTGTTGTATATTTCCTCTTCATGATGACTTGCTTTCATGCTTTCTCCTAGTCCTTTATTAAGTTGTATTTATATTGGCACTACAATATCTTCTGCCTCTCATCCTATGATCACATCTTTCCTGCCAGTAGAATAAAAACCTGTTTCTAGTTTCTCCTCTTCACCTGAAAATCATGTTGTGCCTCGATTCTTTTGTGTAATATCTCGCAGATCCAAAAGCATGTCTCAGAGGTCCTAACAGACAAAGGCTCCAGTTCCTTAGGCTCTGTGCAGGCTATGTTTATGAGGGATGTAACTGTCAGATAGCATGTGTGCTTGTCCTTTGAAGACAACAGGAAAATCTCAGTCTAGTTTGATCAGAAACATACCGGCTGGGAAACTGGTAGGTGGAGGGTAGGGCATAAATTGTCAATGGAGTCTTCATTTTGTCCAGTATTTGTGGTTACTGGAAAGTAAGGAATGTGAATAATTCCCAACCTCATGGCACATAAGGATCATTTGGATTTTCCCTATTGTGCTCCATTGGTGCTTATCATTTCCTTGGGGTTTACAGCAAATCAGTGTAGATCACTGCATAGGGTCCCAAGATTTCAGTCTATACTGATTTTCCCCAGAACAGGGCATAGCAGCTGGTCGTGCCCCTCTGGTTTTACACACAGACTCCTCGACTTGCACAGTTTTAGCTTAATTTAGCACCCTCCGGCCCTATCTTGCTCCTTTTCCTTGGTTACTGTAGTTTAGCCCTACTTACTTACCCCTCAAAACAGTTCTTCTTACCCAACCGTACCTTGGCCAATACCTCTTACAATCGTTTTATTGCTCTGTAGGCTGCAAGTGAGAGAGAGAGATAACCACAGATCTGAAACGTGCTGGAGCGATCTGGTCCCAGGTTAAAGAGGAGTCAGAGAATATGGGAAAGCATAGAAACTGCTTCTTACAGGAGTAAACTGCAGCGGACAGAAAGAATTTGGTCGACGCTTTCCTGACATATTTAGGATGCTAATCTTCTTTTGGCACAATTCTCACAGCAATTTAATCTGGTTTAGTATGGTTGTAGAGTTGGAAAGCCACTTAAACTGATGGTATGAGAATCCTTACCAAACAGCCTAATCTCCAAAAGTAAATCACTGCTTCCTGGAACAACCACATCAACAACACAGGGCCACAAAGGTGCCCGGGGAGTGTTTGGGAAGATCTCGGTAGCCAGTCCGGAACAGCGCTCTGATCTGGATCTACTTATCCGGATGTCTGGATGTACCCTGTGAAATGAAAATATTCAGTAAATCACTTCCTTGGCATTGATCTGGAAGTTCAGGAGGAAAGATCAAATTGCACAGCACACACCTTTGCTGTAGACCATTTAGTACAAATTCTGAAACTGCGCTGGGTTAGAACAGACAACCACAATGAAAATGGACTGTCAAGTGAATCTTGCTTGGCTGCTGCTGTTGAGTGCTGCTCTTCTGTCTGAACCAGGTACTGTGTCTAAAATTTTTTTGTGCTTGCAGGGAAATGTTACAGACAGAATTAGTTACTAATACAGACTGGCTTGCTGGGAAGTGGTGGTAAAGAGTCTCCTAGAATATTACTGACAAGCTTTGTGCCATAAAATTCTTGGTTTAATTTATCTTCTAATTCAAAGATTCAGATCAAGTCCATAGGTTATATTCCAAAACTTGAGGTGCTGAAGAATACTTCCTTTGTTTCTCTTCTGTGAGGGGAATAGTTTCTTCTTCTAATAAACATTCTTCTTCTAATATTCTAGTTTTGAATTTAAATTCTTCTATACTGCACATTTTAAAATGTAGAGAAAGAGAGAAAAAGAAACACAGAGCAGCCTGCCAGACCCAGGTGGAAATACACTTCACTGCTGTGCCATGTTCCTTCAAGCTTCAAACAACAATAACCCCAGACCTTCCTTATAATCTTGCTGGATTGAACGAGATACTTTGATCTTTGATTATCAGCATGGACATCACGACTAAAGTCTTGTCAGTCCCTTACAAAAAGAGATCATTTCATGGAGTGTTGATTAAGGGACTGGCTATATTGATTTATTTATAAAACCAGAGCAAAGGCAATCCAGAGGGAAGTTTGGCATCAAAGAGGACTAAGCTGCATTTCAAGAAGGTGGTTCAATCCCAGCACTTCAGCAACCCTGTAATCTTTGTCCTTCTTCCATAGGTTCACTTTTGTCTTTGATTTGATCTGATGTAGACTGGATTAACTTTGACTGGAAAGATCACTTAGGATCCTGTCTTGCAAACCCAAGACTTTAGTATCACCAAAGTAAAAGTCTGTTTAAGTGAGTGTCTGAAGATCAAATGCCAATTTGAAAAAAAGTAAAAAAATCCCCAAATGAAATTTCTCCTGATATTAGTGATTGAATTAGGCACAGCTCTTCACAGCTTGTTAATTCTGAAAGAGTAAGGATATTATTTTAAAAAGTTGCCATTTGAAAACATTGTTTTGATGCCTGGAAGCCTAAATCCTTTTTCCTTTCAGTGAACATAAGTAGATTTTCAAAGGTATTCATGTAACTAAAACTACAGATTATCAAAACCACACAATCAGACCACAGGTTTGTATCCTGTTTTGGAAGTCCATTTCATCCCCTGGTATCTGAAAAGCAATGCCATGGTCTGGTTTAATCAAATATACATTTTTAAATACCTTAAGTAGTATATAGAATATTCTTCACTGCAGAGTCAGAAAAGATTTGGTTTCCCATGCAGACCTGAGCAGGCATTTGCACAGATTTAAGCTAACATGCTGGGCTGTCAGCCAAAACAACTGTCATGGTCTGCACAGACAAATGGTCCACAGCCTTCTCTGCTATTGTGGTAATATCACATACGGCAAAGGTAAGTAACCCTCTCTGCCGCTCCAGTGAAATTTGGCAAAGCTCACCTCCCAGAAGCCCATGTCTTCACTGGCAGTGAAGGATGTACATGAGGATTTCTGGGTCAGATCCCTTTGCTCTTTGTGCTGCCATGGAATAAGGTCCTCTACAGTCGTCTGCCACTGAACTATGAGGAAATGAGCATGTCCTTCCAGACGCAGGGAGGAACCACAGCATTGCTTTGAAAATCCACCAAATACCAACACTTACTGTATCTAACTCTGTATCAACACATACCAGCTACTATCTCACAGCAACACATAAAATATAACTAGAATTGTGATATGTTACATGACTGCTAATCTATTTTCTTATCTGCCACAGCAAGTGGTACGTGGTGGAACTCACCAGGAGGCTCAGAAACCGGAGGTCAAAACTCACTATGGAAGAAATTTTCGAAATGGATAAAAGACAAATTCACACCCAAAGGTAACAGGGCGCAAAGAGATGTGCTCCTGACGTGAACATACCGAGCACACCTGTAGAGTTACATGAGCCAGCTCTAGGTGAGATGGTTATCTCACCAGCACATCTGACGATACCCTATCGTGATAGATCAGGTCCTGTACGCAGCAGAGCAGGGCTGAATTAACCACACTGATTTGGGCTGTGCTGTTCAGCTCCCCACCCTGTACCACTTTGCACACCGCAGGCGTTTCCCAGTAAGCCCTGAGTACTGGAGACACAGAAACACTGGGTAGCCCATCCCTGCACAGATGGGGATGCAAGCTTAGACATAAGAACTTTAGCTATCCTGGGAATGAACAAAAACTGAGATGTTTACCTGTTGATTTTTGCTTTAGTTTCAGAAGATCCACAACTGCGACTGGTATCTGGAGGGGACCGATGTGCCGGGAGGGTTGAAGTTTACCATGAAGGCAAATGGGGGACGGTCTGTGACGATGAGTTCAGTATGAACAGTGGCAACGTTGTATGCAGACAACTTGATTGTGGTCAAGTTGTCTCCGTCTTGGGACGGTCTGCCTTCGGCCCTGGCACAGAAGACATCCACCTGGATGATGTGCAGTGTACAGGAACTGAATCTTACCTTTGGGAGTGTCAGCACGCCGGCTGGAGCACACACAACTGTGGACACCATGAGGATGTCAGTGTCATCTGTTCAGGTAAAAAAAAAATAATATTATACACTCTTAAAAACCTCTTTGGATTGTCCCGTTGATCACAAACGCATCAGAGTAGAGCATGGAAATCAGACTAGAGCTGAAATGTGTGTATGTGGAGGCTCCTTGTATTTAGGCTGGTCTGCATGATCAAGGAACAAAAGGATGTCCTGGACAAAACACCAGGATTGGTAGCAGCAAGCACTGAATATGAAAATGGTGAAAAGAAGGTAGTTCAGGATCACTTTAGTCAACATCTGATTACAGGTTGTGCCCAAGATAAGAAAGGCAACCAGTTAAGAGGAGATAGAAGCACATCCAGATGTCAATCAGGCATGTGTGAACTGAAAATAAAAATTCATACTCTTGTCATAAACATAACTGCAATCAAAGATTGCATAGCTAGAAGAAGCCTATTTTGAAGCAATATAATGAACTGCACCATAAAAGGAAATTTTGGGGGTTTTTTGGTGTTCACAGGTGTGTCATGCTGCAGAGTTGCACCATGAGGTAGGGCAGAGCTTTTGAGACGTAAGTCCATTAGCTCTTCACAGTGTCCCTAAATGCTCAGAGACTAATTTTTAACTCAAAAATCATGCCATTACAGCTCCTTGGCAGACAGTATTCTGGAAAGGTACATGCTCTGAATTACTAGTTATTGCTCCAAATTACTATTTATTCATCCACCGTAACATTATTTCTGTTCTTTGGTTTGCTCATGGGAACAGTATTTGTCACTCATCTACTAATAATTAGGGAAAATAAAAGGCGAGTCTTAACAAATCTGGTCTAAGTTTCTGACTCCTGCTTTTTTCACTGTTCCTGAAATAATCAGAGCACCCTGGAAACCTTAAAGTGCAGACTTTACTCATGTTTCCTGGGGTTTTTAAGTGTTGAGTCAATAATGCTCTTCATAATACACATCCACAGAGGAGTGGGTACTAAAATGCAGTTTCCTATCATATGTAGTACAGAAATAAAAGACTGGTTCCCAAAATCATTTCTTCTCAAGACGTGAACCTGCAAAACCACGTTGTAGTAGCCTTGAACTGTTGCTGCATATTCTGCACATCTATTTCTGTGCTGATGGCACCACCAGCAAATATCTCTGAAGTTCGTTTAGAACTGCCATTAATCAACAGAAGTCTCACTCACACTACCAGGAGTTAAGGTCTGGTGCCTTAACTCAGTGCTGCACAAAACCTGCTATTTAAATTATTTCACCAATGTCTCAGTTCTCATGACCATTCTCACAGTTCTCTAATCATTTATTTCTTCTAACTTCCAGCATCCTCCACTTCCATTTCTGCATCTCCGTTTTCCACAGACAGTGCTGTTGTGACACCTACCACAGAACGCCCGATTCCTGATGGCGAAGGCAAGGGAAAAAAGACAAACTGCGAATGTCATGTGCCAAAGTTCTGACCGATATATGCAATTTGTTTTGATCAGAGAGGAGGAACACTGGGAATTCAGTAAAAATATTTAATAACTCTGCATGTAATTAGACCTGGAAGAGCCAGTGGCCAAGACCATCTTCATTTTCATAGGAAAATGTGGTTGGAGGGAAAATGGGCATGCAATTAAGCCTACTTGCATATACAATTATCAAGACTGCATGTATGTATGGTGAGATCTTTACAATCAGTTCATCTGAATATCCACTCTCACCTAGATATTTTCTTCACCTTCAATTCTTTTAATAATCCGGTTTATTTTTTCCTGGTTCTTAAGTCAGTGCAAAGGTAGAATGGAAATAAGGTGTGTTTATACCCTGCTGCATCAGTCTCCCAAGTTCATTTGTAATTACTACTTAGAAGATGTTCCTCTGAGCCACATTACCAAAAGTTAAAGTCCAGGCAACTGACTTCCTTTTCCATAAAGCCTGAAGTATTAATGATTTCACAGATCCTTGAAATGTCTTTTCTTTTACATGATGGTGATTCTCTCTAGTAACATATTTCCCCACCCCCTGGCCACCTCTGCAGATTCCTTCTCTGCACCCAGCTCAAGCCCAGCAGAGGCCAAGACACCATCTGCTCCAGGGACCTTGACAACCCTCGAGGAAGGTGAGGCACACTTGCATGCTGAAAGTCACTTCCAAAGCACAAGACAAATCTCGTTCTTTATTTCCCCTAACAATGGTCACTTTGCGTCTTTCCAAATGACTGTTGCATCTCTAGTAGTGAAAGAATGCAGTCAGAAATAACACAGGTATTGACCATCTCTATTATTAAATATTAAATGAAGGTGAAAGTCTTTTCTTCAGCAAAAAATAAAAGGCTAAGCATTGACTCACTGTCCTGCAAAGCCCAAGTCAACTTACTTTCATCAAGATTTCAGTTCCTATGTTCACTTCTAATTGTTGTCAATCCCTCCTCTTCTTTATATTTCCTCAACTTCCTCTTGGCCTCAGTTATGTCTTCTGCGTCCATTATTGTCACAGAGGAAATTGCCACCTCAGCTCCCAAAATCTCAACCATAGTTTATGAAGGTAAGAACAGCCATTCTGCAAGTTCTATTTAAAACAAATATTTTGTTAATTTGGGGTTTTCAGCTGAATTAAGATGTGACCATGTAAATCTGTGAAATATTCATAGCTGACAACTTTGCCTACAAGAAAGGTGGGGAGGGACATTTTACGAAGGCCTATAGTGATAGGATAAAGGGCAATGGCTTTAAACTGGAAGAGGGAAGATTTAGATCAGATATTAGGAAGAAATTCTTCCTGGTGAGAGTGGTGAGGCAGTGGCAGAGGTTGCCCAGAGAAGCTGTGGCTGCCCCATCCCTGGAAGTGTTCAAGGCCAGGTTGGATGGAGCTTTGAGCAACCTGGTCTGGTGGAAGGTGTTCCTGCCCAGGGCAGGGGAGTTGGATCAAGATTGTCTTTAAGGTTCCTTCTGACCAAACCAGTATATGATTCTATGAAATTGAACGTTTCTGTGAGGGAACAGCCTCCTTACAACTTCTTCACTCTCAGTGAAAGAAGCCTGGAACTTTTTTTATGCTTGTAATGCAAAACGTTAACATGAAGATCCATTTATAAGCCATGTCAGTGGATGTGGAAGACAACTAATCACAGACTTGCTTTTCCAGAAAGCCTGAAGGCAATTAAATTCATCAAGAGCTGATTTCAGTCATTCAGCCTTACCTGAC